CCTGCAAAGTGGCTTAATTAAATACAGAAGATGACTAATAAATGCGGCTGAATGAATGGATATATAAGTTTCTAAAGCTGCAAGAATTGGGTTTCATTTTTCCATTTACTCATGATTTGTTCAGAAGACTATGATGTTTTCTTCCAGCTTGAATTTTACTCAGAGAATGACAAGACTTTTTTTTTTTAAAACACAGATCTTCCTTGACTTATGAAGGGGTTACCTAATGATAAACCCCCTGTAAGCTGAAAATACCATAAGCTAAATATGCATTTATTCTTTTTGTCAAAAATGCATTTAATACACCTAACCTATCGGACACCATAGCTTGGTCTAACCTATCTTAAACGTGCTCAGAACACTTACATTAGCCTGCAGTTGGGCAAAATTATCTCACACCAGGCCTGTTTTATAATGAAATGTTGAATATCTTATCTTATTGATTGAATGCTCTACTGACAGTGAAAACCAATGGTTGTCTGAGCACAGGATAGTTGTAAGTGTATTCTTGCGATCATGTGGGTCACTGGGAGCTGCCATTGCCCAGCATCCCCAGAGAGCATTGTACCACATATGGCCAGCCTGGGAGAAGATCAAAATTCAAAGATTGAAGTAAGGTTTCTACTGAATGCATATTGCTCTCACACCATTGTAAAGTCAAAAAAATGATAAGTTGAACCATCGTAAGTTGGGGACCATCTGTATCCCGAGGTGCTGAAGAGGCTCTGATCGTTTTCTCCCGTGAAATTTTCTGACCCCACCCCTTGAGCATGGGGACCTGTTTTATGGGAAGCTTTGTTTTGGCTTTCAAGGCATGAGACATAGAGAGACGATCTGGCCAGGTTGAGCAGAGGCGGACACTTTCACTTTCTGTGCTTATTCCTGGATGTGTCTAAGGTATCTGAGATGCCCAGGATTTGTCTTGAAAGGCCGTAGAAGGGTTGAATGATTTGAGGCTGGAAGGACAAATATCCTTTGGAGCTGACAGCGCAGGGGGCTGGAGCAGGGGTCTCTGAAGAAAGGCACTGGTAAATACAGAGCCACACAGACTGTGTTCCCCACTGCTCTGGCTCAGCTCATTTTCACTTGCAATCAGGGCTGATGTGATATTTGCTTCAAAGATAAGGCTTCGGAGGGATGCCAGGACTGTAAATCAGTCTTCAAAAAAGGAGGAGAAGGCTCTTTAGAACATTATTAGTGTTTAAAAACACTAAAACAGTGAAACTCTCCCATTCAGTAAGTGATATCTGGCATTAAATGAGTCCACTTCCTGATGGACTTTTCCCACAGGATGGCACATAGGAACCTTGCCCTCAATCCAACTAAAGCTGAACTCTTCCATCTCCCCAATCTGCCACCCTTCCTCCCCGGTGGTGAGGGTCCCAGCTCCACTCCACTGCCCCAGCCCCAACCCTGAGAATCATACTAACCCTCCCTCTCCTTCTCCACCTCAACCAATCATTACTCATTAAGTCTTGGTATCCTTAGCCTCAAGTTCTCCCAACTCTGTCACTTCTCTCCATTCCTACTGGAAATGCCCGTTCAGCCCTTCACCATCTTTCACCTGAATTCCCACAACATTATTACAACCATGGTTTATATGCCAGGGCCCCCTGCTAGCCTACAAACACCTTGGGATGTTGTCTTATCCACAGAGCTTACTCCAGTATCCAACACACAGTAGATGCTCAATAAATGGTCACTCATCTCAAGCTTATGCTTCCAACCTTTGGAAGAAGCCAAGGGAAATTGAAGTAGACCTTCACCCCTGTCCCCAAGTAGAGGTCCTCTGAGACTGGGTCATAAGCACCACATCCAAGTATAAAGGAACCTGAGCATATTTCAATCCATCTTCAATATAAAAGACAACATTTATTTTTGTTGTACGTGATTAGAGGTGGATCAGTTACATTATAGAACCATGAAAAGACCCATAGCCACTGTGCAGTGGGAGCAGGCACCTTCTTGCTCTTCTTTATATCATGAACATTTATTACTTTCTGTTTTGGAATGGAGGTGAAGGAACACTTTGCCAGCCCCACTTCTTCCTCTATTCCTTCCATCACCTGGGGGAATATTCACATTGGAGCAAGAGATTACCCAAACCACTGCGCCACTGCCTGGGACCTCTGCCTGCCTTGCTCTCGATCAGTTTAGGGGAAGCCTGTGGGGCAAGACCCAGACTCCAAGAGTGTGTTCTGCAGCATAACCTTGTACCAAACACATTCCCATTCATTCATTCGCTCATTCAAAAAAAAAAAATATATATATATATATATATTCTAAAATTTTTAAAAGATTTTATTTATTAGAGAGAGAGAGAGCACAAGCAGGGGTTGGTGGGGAGAGGGAGAGGGACATATAGACTCCCCACTGAGCAGGGAGCCTGATGTGGGGCTCGGTCAGTACCTGAGCCCAAAACAGACACTTAACCGACGGAGCCACCCAGGCACTCCTCAAAATACGTTTCTTAGTAGTGTACTATGTTCCAGTGCCGCTCTACATGCTAAGGATACAAGAGTGAGCTAGCTAGACATATCTCTGCCATCATGGAGGCTACCTACAAGCTGGGGAGGCAGCTATCAAACTGATAAATAAGTAAAATAGGCACAGGGGTGGACATCTGCTGTGCCGTGCCCTTTCTGCTGACTTTGGAGAGCACGGGACATTCTGCTACTCCTTGGCACGTGGAACCAGGGCTATATTTGCCCCTCCCTGGAGAGCACTAATGTTAGCCCTCCCAAACCCTCCCAGTGACACCTCTGCAAGCCAGTGCCAAGGCTGGAATGAGGCGTCTGAGGTGAATCAGTCCCAGCTCAGCTCGACACAAAGGCATCCCAGCCAGGATGCATGTGTGGGCCTTTTAGAAAGCAATTTTATGCACAATCTGCGTGCTGTGCCCTTATACGGAGGTAGCGGGATTGGTGAGAAGAAGGGGGAAATTAACATGAGAGGAGCTGATCCAAAGTGCTCGCAGGGTCTGAGCAGGAAAGTCCCCTCCTCTGGCTAAGAAGCCAGGAGGCTCTCCTTAATCACACTTCCCAGGGCGCTTTTCCCTGCAAAAATGGCAGCAAACAAGTCAAAAGTGGCATGACATTTACATGAAAGAAAGAGCCTCTCCAGGAGGGGAAGGAACTTGCCCAAGGTCACACAGTGAGTCAGTGCCAATGTAGGGAAGAGAAATCGGGTTAAAACTTCCAGCCCAGTTTCCTTCCCATTATGCAAAGCCGTCTCTTAACAGAAAATCTTAGGGGATAATATTCTTTCCTGAAAATAGTTTGGACAAGTGCTGGCCTCTTAACAGAAAATCTTGGGGGTGATATTCTTTCCTGAAAATAGTTTGGACAGGTGCCCGCCTCCCTCTGGAAATGAGCTCCATGATAGAAGACTGAGCCCATCTACCTGTATTTACATGTTTACTATTTACCATCCACTGAAGCCAGTTAGACCTCTGGGCCAGTGGTCTTGGCACCAGGGACTCTGTAGTCAGAGCGGAGACCGCCTGCCTGGAGTGGGGAGAGCGGCTTGAGGGAGGGGCCAGTGATCTTGACGCAGTGCACGGAGCTGGGAACTGACTGACCTCTGTCTTTTGGCTTTTCCTATCACTTACCTTGCTTGCATCACCTCCAGCGATCCCCCCTTTCCACACCATAGCACATAACCAGCACAGTCAAGCTGTCTCCCTCCTGGTCACCCAAGGATGTCACTGATGGTCACTGTCACCATGTTCCAGACCTTCTTAACCACATTTCCTGGTCAGAATCCATCTAGTCCATAGCCCGTTTTCCCCAAGACTATCCCAGGTGTCCACAGGAAGCAGATTTTCACAAAGTAAATGATGTCCAGGTATACAAAAGTTCAGTTGTAATCTCTTGAATTCCTTAAGGCAAAGGAGTGAGTGTGCTGGACGGCCAGGCATTTTAGCATCCTTGGAATGGGATGTGTGTGTGTGTGTGCGCGCGCGCACGTGTGTGTGTGTGTGTGTGTGTGTGTGAGAGAGAGAGAGATTTCAGAATCTATGGGGCTTTTTCAGTAAATTTTCAGTGCCTATGATGTTTATGCCAAGGACAAACAGAATCCACAAAAAGCTGGGGGCCAGAGGAAAGATTCAGAAGTAGAAAGGACAGAGGAGCCTGGGAAATGACCTACCAGTGCAGAGTTTTGGGGTCTCTCATGTCAAAGTCTTTTCTGAAATCATCAAAGTCAGACTTCACCATTGAGATCTTCCTTGACCTTCTAGAGGGAGACGCTCTCCCCAACTTCACTCAAGCACCTGTCTTTCCAGGCCCTGAAACCAACTGAGGGCACAGGCTTCTCAGCTCACCTCGGGGAGGATCCTACTTCTTGACCTTGACCTTCCATGCATCCCACAGTGTTCCATACCAGAAGTGAGGCTCTGACGGCTTGGGGCATCAACATGCCTCAGTTCATTCATTCACTCAACAAGTATTTCTTGAACTCCTGCCAACTCCTGCATGTTAGGACCACATTAGGTACTGTGAAGTCAATGGAAAGTGAAATAGCCATTGTTTCTGCCTTCATAAAATGTATGGTTTAGTGGGGAAAACAGGTGTCAGATAATTACACAAATACATAATTACAAACTGTAATAAATGCTATAAAAGAAAAGCACAGGGTGTTATGAGAATATTTTCTGGGGAAACTGCTCCAGGCTGGGGTTGGGGCGTCAGCATCATGATGTGGTCCCGGCTTCTGGGAAGCTCCCAGGCTGCCAAGCCCACCTGAACCAAATAGTCCTTTCCTCTCTGCCTTGGGTCAGGCTGCAGCTGGATGCCCGGTCTCTCTCAGACCTGGAGCCTGGACGGCGACCCCTTCACCCACGTGGGCTGTGTTGGGTCAGCGTCAGCACAGGACACCTGCCTAGGGGACCCAGGTGACTCCCATGTTTAAAAATCGTCCCACCTGCTTTGTAGCTCACGCTTTTCTGGTTGTCTCTGCCATGTCCCGAGGCTGCCATACCCCCCTGCTGGGCCTCTCACTTCTTTGCCCGAGCTGTGTAAACACAGCACAATGAAGCGCAGCGGGTACAGACAAAAACACCAACCCTCCATTCTACCCTTGAAGGCTCCCGCCTCCTTCGCGGCCGTGATTTCTGAGTCTGCCCCAGATTTCAGGGGTGCTCTTGTGGAGTCCCCTCCCGGCCCGGTGCCACCCGACGGTTCGGAACGGGCCCGCACTCCATTACGGAATGTTGCTATGTCAGCAGACATCTCGGTTACTTTTCATGCGCCTCCACAGGAGTCTGTGCTGAGGGGCTTAAACAGCACTTGCCAGCGCCTAGGCTCTGCCTGACTCGGGCGGCTCTTGTCAGACTCACTCCTTGATCAGATGCTAGCCAGCCTCCTCTGAGCCGCTTTCTCCACTAGGCCTGTCAACCTGGGACTATAAAGATGAACAAACACTCACAGTTTCTAACCGCTCAAGGCTGCCTCCCTCGGATGGCCCGAGTTCCCCTCAAAGTGCCTGCCTGCGAAAACTCAAGGCTGCCAAGAGAATTTCCTGTTCGCTCCAGCCAGCATTTATTTTATTTTATTTTATTTTTTTAAATGTGATTTTTTTTAAATTTTATTTATATATTCATGAGAGACAGAGAGAGAGAGAGGCAGAGGGAGAAGCAGGCTCCCCACGGAGCAGGGAGCCCGATGCGGGACTCGATCCCAGGACCCTGAGATCATGACCTGAGCCGAAGGCAGACGCTTAACCGACTGAGCAACCCAGGCGCCCTCCAGCCAGCATTTAAAGAGCTCTATCTCCGAGGAGCTGTGGGAGGTGGGAGCCTAACCTCTTTTAGCGCCGGTTAACAAACCCAAGTGGATTTTGCATGAACCAGCTCCCCCTTCCTGATTTTTGCAGTTTTCCACTTCCCCAACTGTACTGAGCCTTGTGGGCACCCATCCCAGTGCCCTCACTCTGCCTTTAACAGGTCCTGTCATCCCTGTACAAATCGAAGCATCCTTACCATTTTAACCACTGTCCAGCTGTATCTTTGGCACCCTGAGAATAAGGATTGCCACGGCCTTGTCTCTATCTACATCAGGAGACCGGGCCACTGTCACCTTGCATAGAGCTGTACCCACACAGTGCAAGGCACTTTTAGCTAGTTACCCAGAAAAATGACTTTCAGCTATATGCAGGAAAAGCTCCCCAAGTATTCGTTCGCTAGGACTGCCATAGCAAGACGCCACAGATTGGGGGGCCTCAACAGCAGTAATTTATGTTCTCACCATTTTGGAGGCAGGGGGTCCAAAGTCAAATTGTCTGCAGGTTTGGTTTCTTCTGAGGCCTCTCTCCTTGGCTTGCAGGTGGCCTCCTTCTCATTGTGTCCTCATGTGGTTGTCTCTCGTTCTATATTGTCTGGGTCCTAACCTCCTCTTTTTCTAAGAATATCGGCCCGATTGATTTAAGGCCCACTCTGAAGACCTCATTCTGACTTAATTACCTCTTTAAAGGCCCCATCTCCAGATAGTCCTTCTGAGGTCCTGGGGTAAAGACTTCAACCTGCAAATCTGGGGCAGGGAAGAATACAGTTTGGCCCAGAACAAGCAATGTGCCCAGAAATATTGATTCAGAAAGAGCACAGATGTAGGAGGAAGGAAACCACAAGAGTTGTGATATATCTTCTCTTCTACAGGGGTCAATCCAGAAGAGTGCCATTATCAGATGTAAGAATAAGATTGGCAGTGAAATCCAACTACTCAGAAGAACAACATTTTCATATCTTTATTTTCTTCTTAAGTGAAATTGAGTCTGATTTTTTTTTTTAGATTTATTTATTTGAGAGAGGGGGAGAGAGAGAGAGTGAGAGAGAGTGCACACACACACTCAAACACACACGTGCGAGCAGGGGGAGGGGCAGAAGGAGAGAGACTCTCTAGCAGACTCCCCGCTGAGCACAGAGCCCTGATGCGGGGTTCCATCCCATGACCCTGACATCATGACTTGAGTCGAAACTAAGAGTTGGGATGCTCAACTGACTGAGCCACCCAGACACCCCCTGAGTCTGACTTTTTAAGTTACAATAGAAAATAAACCCAATTTTCATAACGATTAGTTTTACTGGTCCACAGTGTGCCCATACTGAAGTTAAAGAGACAGAAGCAACCTTCCTTGAGTTTCATGTAAACTAATTAACGAATCATGAATCCAGCTTGGGTTGCTCAAAAACTCTGAGTCCAGAGGTAGCTTTATTTTCTGGATGCTGGCATTCATTTGAAGAACACATGGAATCTAATAGTGTTGCAGGCAAATACTGAGTTACACTGGCTTCCTTGGCCTGCACACTTTAGGGGTACAAAGTTCACATGAGGAATCAACACTTTCTACAGAATACTTTCTGGGGTCTGCAAAAATGAAGTTTCAGCTGAAGCATGCGTCCATGGGAGAGGGCCACACGCTGTGTCTGTAAGTCTCTCAGGAGTTCAGTTTTCCTAGGAGACGTACAGTTTCATTCTGTAGCAAGGCTTCTCTTCAGTGAGGTGTTTGTAACCACCCTAATTTTCTATTTTTATGGAATTGATAGCCAAGTGAAAGCTTTTATTAGAGTAATTAAAATACCAGAAGAAATGATACATGCTGGGATTCTAGGAACTGGACACGTCCCAAATGGCATCAGATGTGCATCTTGCTGGCCAGAGAAAAAAGATTTTTTTTTTTAAAAGACAAAGAGGGGCGTAGCACAGGCTGCTGAACGGCATGACAGCGTCTGCGTATGAAAGGCATTTCTGTTCTTATTAGGAGGTCTGATTACACAGTTCTCAAATTTCCCCTTAAGCCTCCCGAGACGAGTGTGAGGTGCAACCTTGTAAATTGTCAGCACATATAAAGCTAAGATTTAGAGAGTGGTTTCCACTGTGCATCCTATAAAATGTTTCCCATGAGGAAGATTAGTATCAATCACAGGCTTATTGGAGAAGGAGATAGGATCCAATGATAACCTGGCACTATCAAGTAGAGTAATGGTGGAAGAAGAAAAAGCAATCAGAGAGGAGAAAGGAATATCCAGAAAGAAAGACAGAAGGAGAAAATCAGAGTGCAATGTATCATATTGATTAACAGGAGCTGTTATCTAGGACAAAGGCTCATGTGAGTAATGCAGGTTCTCAGACAATGGATATGGCTGAATGTTGAGCTTCGAGAGAGCGGGAGGAGACTTCCATAGCACATCCAGCAGCCGGACTCTGGGCATGGCAGCATCCAAAGGGAATGAAGTCATTACCACGCGGGAGTTTTACCTGCCCTTCTTGAGAGTCATTGGCTTATTTCAGAGGCTCCTGAAAGATCTCTTGGAAAACATCAAAGTGGCATCTTCCAGCCCCAGCCAATTGGGTTGTTGGACTCTGGTAGACGTCTTTGAGTTGCTACTCCTTGGGACATGAGTGAATGAACGGGGGATGGAGGAAAAGGGTGACTACTTTTGAAAAGGGAGGCTGGTCTGACAACTTTTTTAAAAAGACTGATTGGAAATTTTTCCTATCCTGGAATTTGCTGGCACTCCTCTCATCAAGAGGCACAATCTAATTCTCCTTAATCAGCCCTAACTATGGGCTGACCTGAGTGCCTCACCTCTTGTGAATGGAATGCGTTGGAAAGTGTCACTGCGTGACTCCTGAAGCTGGATCAGAAATGGAGATAATGCTTTCTGCCTGGCTCTGTCCCGGGATGCTTGATGCTGGAACACAGAAGCCCAGGCAAAAGAAGGGGCCGTTTGTAGGAGCTCTGGTTAACAGCTCCGTATGGGGTCCCAGCCAACAGCCGGCATCAGCCCCCAGTGCCATGAGAGAGCCTTTAATGATCCTAGCCCCAGCCTCTCTCTGACTGCAACCCTATGAATCATATAAGTGCCCCTGAGGGAGGCCAGCCTCATTCGATCTAGTCAACCCTCAAGATGGAGAGATAATAATAATAAGTGATTCTTGTGGTTTTATACCAACTTTCGAGTAGGTTGTTACTGATACATTCCCTAAGAGACATGGTGTAAACACCATTCCGCTGCCTCCTGAACTACAGGACTATAATGAGGAGGAAGCTGCAAACACAGGCGAACTGCCTCATGAGCGCAAGACCACAGCCTCAGCTACCCTTCAGAACCACATTCGAGACCCACTGTATCAGTTCAACAGGAGAATCCCCTCTAAAGCACACGTGTCAACTTCAAATGGCTCACAAGGAGAGTCCACAGTTGAAAAAGCATCCCCAATTTATAGTTCAGAGTTCAAAGGCCATTGTTCAACGTCATTAGTACAATTAAAGTTTTCTTCATCATCAAAATAATATAGGTACTTAGCTCCATTCTTTGCATCGTTTGGACAGTATAACGCAATCTGAGGGGTTTCCATGTAGAATACGGTCTGAGTCTTCTTGCTATAGCGTTGTGTTGGAAACACGGCCTGATGTCTGTGGTCTGACTCTGAGACCTTTTAGTTTTCAGGCCCGTTTAAAGTAAAAGAAAGGAATTTGGAGGAGGAAACGGACACACGGAGTCACTCCTACATTTCCGGAACTGTGAGCAAAATGTCAGTTTCTCAATGTGACAAACACATTTTTTAACCATGTCCCAGGACTACAGGCCCATCCAAGGTGGGTCTTTCTAGCAGAAGGAACTAGCCTCCTAAAGCATTGCGGTTGTGAAGGAACCCTTCTGAGACTCAGATCGTTGGAAGCAAAGGATCCAGGCATGCCTTTTCCAGCATGCCGATCTACTCACGAAGTCTGGCAGAAGTTCCTCCAGGTTAGACTTAGAATTAACATGAAGTGGGAACAGAGTTGGTGCTCTGGACAGTGTGCTCTCAGTTCTCTCCTCCCCTTGGCTCTGAAGGCGCAGGCCCTCAGTGAGGGCTCCCGGGGCTTTGAGGACCCGCACCACAATATGATGAGTAAAGCAAACGTGGCTGGGCTGGTGCCAGGGCACTTCTGCAGTGACAGCAAACAGGTGGCCCCTCCTGCTTTGCTCCACTGGCAGGAGGAGGTCCTCTTTCTCCCTTCTTGAATTTAATCTAGAGAAAGGACATGTCTTTCAATGATCCATGCCATCGAGCTGTGGGGGACATTTAATACTTCTGCCCGGAACAAATTGCATTTGGGAAGATCCAGGCATATTCTCCTGTGGCCCAGTCTTCAAAGAGGGTGATTTCTTTACAATGGAACAGTGTAAGCAGAGAGAGCATTGTTTTCCTTTCCCTCGAGGGAATTTTCGAGGTTTTACCGCTTCCCC